AAGCTACGAGAAAGGAAATTCTAAAGAATTAGTCCACTGCTATTTGTTTATTAGTTTTATTGCTATTACTTTTGTGTTGTTCACCTGAAATCGGTCAAACCTGTTTGGGGACCATTCTTCTGTTTTCGTTGGACCATTTGCTATATTCGCTGATTATTTGTGAGAAATTCGAAACCGTATTTGAAATTATTTTGTGAGAAATACGAAGTGGCATTGCAGATAGCTTTATTTTTTCATGCGATGATAACATGATGTGAAGGTTTTTATTCGCTATTAGGCCAGGTTTTCTAGATTTTGACTATTCGAATGACGAAATATTTTATTATTCATTTTCTGATATTATCCTGAAGCATCGCATTACCAAATGATCTAATTGATTTTGCTCAGAACTGTCATTCTCTTTTCAGAGAGTGAGTGACACTGCGAAAAAATTTCACATGCTTCAGATTAATATTAGCCTCCCACCCTATCCATTATTATCATTTTATAGTCGATATATACTCTTAGGCAGATCTACCTTGCTCAGTTAGCTTTTGCTACCATGACCCGATCCTCTGGTGTTTTCATCACAGCCCTTTGCAGCTACCGTAACTACACTTCACTCCTTTCGTTGACTATGTTGGTTGATATTTGCGACGAGCAAACGTTTTTATCATATTCACATGCGGCTTCGCTTCTCAGCAAATAACTATGAAATCATGGTACATTCGTATTAAATCTTTGATCTGATAATTATAGACCGGAGGAAACATAATCGTGGCGACACCCGGACGTTTGAATGACGTTATAAATCAGCAGATAGTCAGCATGGCTGATTGCAGGTACTGTTTTATAAACATTACGGAATGGTTATCATGACTTCTGTTTGATGGAGCGTTTTTCTTTTTCGTTCGTAATTACAATGAGAAAAACGTCAACGAAGGTTTAAATATACTCAATGCAGACTGTGGTCTGTCAGATGATAGACCAGTAACGACGTTTTTACCCTTAACTCACTGGCTTTCTTCAATGTAGAAAATATGCAAATTTCAGGTGTTGTTATGTCATTTGGTGCAGCGGGTTCGTTTTCTTGGCCTCTGTGCTCCAAGCGAACTACTTGCTGCAGATCATTTCCACAGCTACCGAAAACTACCACATCTTTTACCTTCATGTATGCGCGTAAAATGTGGGCGGCATGTCGGCATCATTCTCATTCAAGACTCCATCATACTGCTTCATGTGCTGGTTTTGTATTCTCTGCTATTGCATATTTAGTTCTACATGCTGCTAAATGGTGGTAATTTATTTTAAACAGCTCACCTCCATTCATTTGCAAAAGTTGAGTCTTCCTTGGTTTCTTACAGCGGAACATGTAAGAATCACTGTGCGAATTCAACTTTCCAACGGCTACCCACATTAA